GAAATTTCAACAACAACAAAAGCACGACACACACACAACTAAAGCCAACCATTTACCTATATGGCAGCTAGGTGGGTGAATGTTATGTTATGTTGTTATGATAAAGGCAAAATCACAACAAATATGCAAATATTTAGTTTACCGCTAAATACTCACAGCCAAGCAAGGCAAGGCAGGGCAAGGCAAGGCAAGGCAAGGCAAATTGCCTGTAGATTTCCACATAGATAGAAAGCATTCTTGGCACGATAACAACAAATAGCTGGCGGCTTTTTTGAGAGTAACAAAGCCGGCAAACAATGCGAGCAACTACAGCAGCAAGAATGTTAGGCTGACAAGCAGTTGCTTTTAATGTCGATGATTAAACGCTTAAGTCGAGCCATTTAAATGCAGCTTGTGCCTCGCTTTGTTGCCTATTTTTAGGCCATTTAATCGACAAACAGCTGAGCCAAGTTTGACTGCCTTTGCTCAAGCATTGAAAAGAGTTTACTCAGCCGACACACACACACACACCCACTGACACACAAAGAGTGATTGTTAAATGAGGCGTATAAGTAACGTGGGCTGCTTAGCATTAGCAAATTAATACTCAAGTAGCATTTGCTTCTTTTTATTTTTCTGTTCATCAAATGCCATGCTTTTGCTTCTGTCAGTGGGAAAAAAAGTTATATCTGAAAAAAAAAGTTTGGCTACGGAAGCCGTGCAGTCTTTTATTCAGTATTTTAACTTTTTTATTAAATTTGCCCACCAAGTTGGGCCAAGTTTGTTGCCAGCTTTTGTTGCTACTTAATGCCACTTTGTTTATTAAATAAATATTTGACACAACTTTCGGGTATGCCGTCTTGATGGCCCACACAAAAAGGTATAGGTCATAGCCGAAAAAGTCCCATCATAAATTTTCCGAAAATTATTCAATTTAATGACCAACATAAAAATGCACTCATTATAAAATTTCTTCATTTGATACTCCGAGGGTGCTTTGTTTTAACGTCACTTTGATGTAGTTAGCCCCATCGATATTCGAAGCACCTTGGCCAAAAGCTGGACGTGCTGAACTATTAAGTCCAAAGCACAGAATTGCAATAAAATTGCCACCAAGAAAAATTACCTTGCCTAAGGCCGCTTTTGGATGAATATACAATATGCGATGCTCTAAAGCCTTAATTCACATTTATATAAAATTAGAGAAAGGACATATATGATATACGTATGGCAATCATCTTTTGTGATCATATAATAATAAAATTAGAAAACAATAATACAAATCCCTCTTTCTCTCTCTCTCTCTCTTTCTTGCTGATGACCTGGCATCAAAGTAAACAATGTGCATAACCCAATAGAAGTTTGTTTTCGGCAGACCCAAACAAATTTGCTAACAATACTCTGTACAGGTGGCATCCACTAAAATAAAATCAATTGTTTGGGTTAACAAAGGGCGGTATAAATTGGCTCCATCTCTCTCTCTCTCTCTCTCTCTCTCTCTCTCTCTCTATCTCTCTCTCTATCTCACTCAATCAGATTTCATAATGATATTTGAGAAACAATGTAAACAGGTAGATGCTTGGCTGGGGCTTAAAGCAATCGCAGCTGCGGCACCACAACTAAACAACTAAAGCACAGACATTTATCGGGGACCACATATCATACATGAATATATATGTATGTCTATATATACGTGCATTTATATCTGTTTACAGCTGTTGTGTGTAAATACGTGTGTGCGAGAGAGATTCAAGCAAGCCAAACCCCATTAAATAAAACTGGCGCTCAACCACATCGAACTGTGGCTGGCTTGGCCGCCGCTCTGGCTGCCCGTGTTGCCATCGAGCCGCTTTGAGTGGCTTGAGCGACCGGCACTCGGCTGGGAGAACGTATCACATTACGCATACGCCACCGGACGCGTTACGCAAAAGTTTTCCGGCTTTGCTTTGGTTCACTGGCAATATTTTTATGACCAGACCCAGACTCTTGGCACGTGCCAGCAGGATTCAAAGCTTTGTGCAAATATGCAACGAAATGCAGCGCATATATTCGCCGAGTGGAAGCAACAGTTTTGCTTCTTCTTCGCCCTCGAGTGGCTTACTTAGTCGATGTGCTGTGGCACGTAGTCCGTACGCACACGATGCGATACGTACTGTGAATTCATCTCTCCATTCAATTCAATTCAGAGAGCCATAAAATTGCGTTCGTGTAAATACAAGTTATGGACCATTTTCCCATTGCACTGGGACCGAAGCCTTCGCTCGCTTTCTAGATGAGCTAGCTCTATGTCTTCAATGTAGTAAATATATATATATATATATATATATATATATATATATATAGGGTCAGCCGACTAACACTCTGTATAGCACACTGTAGCTATTAAATTCAGTTGTAAAGCAGCATATCTGAAGGAATATTCACCAAATCTGCCTATGAAATTCCAGACACGTTCATAAAATATACATAAACATATATACACATGCATGTGCCACATATATACATACATATTTAAGCTCATTTAGGTAGAAAAAGGTATATATATATGTATGTTCTTGTTGATACGCCAAAGTTTTTCAATATGAAGCACAAGTAATGCACGTTCCAATAAATTACATCAAAAAGGCATACAAAAAGCAGCTGGGCTTGTCAAATTGCCATAAAGGCATTTCAATAGGCCCGAATAGTGGCTCCATATTTTCAATTTAACTAGGCCTAAAAAAAGAAGCCCATTTCATCATAAAATACCCAACAACAAATATTTATAAATACTGGAATGGCTTCATTAATTGATTTTTTTAATTAAACTTTAAAAATTGTTTATTTTAAATTATAGGATTACCCTTGATATATATATTCTGAATTTATTAAAAATAAATTTTTTATTTAATATAATTTTAATATTGGCTATTAAAAATATTTACAACAATTTATTCATATTTACGGTAATTGTATTTTATTAAAAACTTTATCTATTTGCCATTTCCGTATTTATATAGTTGAAGCGATTTTGATTACATTGAAGAGTATTACTTCAATGCCAATGCCATTGTACTCGCCTTAGAGTGAACTCCTTTGAATGGCCCATGTATTGGGACTCTAATAACCAATGATTATATTTCTCATTCTGCCACATAATTCATTCATAAATACGCACAAGCCGAGGGACAGGCACAAGCACGTTCAATGTCGGCAGCACAGTGGCGCGCACGTGGTGCCCGTGAAGCAAACAGAAAAGAAAATAAAACAGCAACAGCAACAACAAAATAAAAAACATCACTTACCGCCCTCAGTCTCTTATAGGCGCTGAGGACGACCGCGGAGGAGATGGTTTTCACACAAACACAAGGCAAGAAGTATCTTTATCATTGCACTATGGGGAAAAATCCAAATTATCGGGTATTAATTAATAACTTAAAAACTAAGCCAGATTTTTTGATCCGGTTTTTGTATTATTAATATGTATACCATCAGAAATATATTTTAGAAAAATGGGCGTGTCACCGCCCACCCAAAAAAATTTATTAAAATTTTGTATTAAAAATTTTTTTTTTTTTTTAAGAATTTTGCTTGTTCATACTTTAAAATAATAATTTTAATTGAAAACAATCGAACTTTCATAAAATCGAAATTAGTTTTCTTCAGTTTCGAGTTCCAAATCAGCCAGAAATATTGATCCGCTAAAAAAATTCGGGTTCTTCAACTGATTTAATTGTGCCTTCAACTTTACATAATACAATACGTACAACTTCATTAGACAGCGACCTTTATGCTTTCAAACTCTTTTCTAAAGATTTGCCGAAGAAATAATCTGATCAGATGTATCCATTGTTAAAAACCATCAGCGAAATTATGGATTCTGCTCTCATGCTCTCATGCATGATGAAATTAGTCTGATTTATAGACCTGGTTGGGCAAATCAGACGCTTCCTTACCAAAAAAGCCTACAGGATGAACAGTACTTTCCATAATCTGCCTCAAATGAACAATTATTTTTATAAACATTTGCTGTCATAGGCAGTCATTCATAGTTGTCAGCTAGTTTTTGTTCCTGCTGCATTTCTTCCATTTGTAATTTATATTTTGGCAAAAAAAAGCGGCTTTTGCTTTTTAATATCATTTATAAGTTGAATCAATATTAGTCTTATTTAGTTTCAAAATCACAATTACTATTTCTTGGTTAGAGTTGCCTTTTTCATTGAGCCAAATATCACACAGGTCAGCTCATAGTCACCTGCTAAAAATTGATTTGCGCCGGTTGTGCGCAAAAAGTGCACATTGAGACAAAGGCACTAAGATCCCAATTGATTACTCTATAACATGCAATTGGAATTACACTGGTGCGCCCTGGTGGCTGTTTTATATGTCTTTGCAAAGTTTAATTTTATTTACAAGAAATGAAATTTGACAACATTTGCTAATTATACAATAAATGATTAAAATAAGTTCAAACATCAATTGGTTTTTAAGCCAACGCATAGTAGAAGCCCTAAAAATTCATATCCTTTTTAAATTTCTCAAAAATAATGTCTGGTCATTGAATAACGATGATTTGAAAATCGGCTAACACAAATTGTAAGCTGAAGGCAAATGCTTTTCGAAGATAACAGCTGACTTTAACAGCTGTTAGGCTTAACAGTGGACTGTTATTCAACATTTTGGGTACAGTACCTTAAAGTTTGGAGTTTTATTAAGATGTTAACATAAAAAAATTATAAATTTTCATACTTCGCAAAAATGACTAAATACCCGAAAAACGGCAAAATTCCCCATAGTGCATTGGGCGCCAAGAAAATTTCCCAAACAAAGCGAGAAACAATTTCCCAGTGTTCGCTTGCCTAGTGAGAGAGCGAGCCGAGAGAATACCAAATAAATGCCGAGCGACGCCAACTTCGACGTCGGCATCGACTATAGCAGTGTTAGCAGCAGCGACAGCGCCAGCGGCAGAGGCAGAGGCAGAGGCAGCGGCTGCTTTTCACTGGCAGTTCAGACTCAATGGACCAGTTTGGAAAATTCGCACTGTCAGTTTGTTTTAAAATTTTGCCGCGTTCGCTTGCGATTCGCTCATGTTTCGACAAGCGGAAAATATAAAATTTCAAAATATATTGCGCGCGAACTTTGAACTCGTTTTGTGAACTAAATTTCGAGTGACGTTTGTAAGAAAAATAGAAAAAATTCTTAAACCTTATACTGAGAAGGAAAATATGTATTATATACGCTCCAAGCTGGAAATACTATGGATACACTATTGAATAACTTAACCAATTTTAAACGCTTGGCTTCGAGATACAATAAAAAATAATATTAAAAAATTAAATAATAAATAAATAAATAGCTAAAAGTCATAACAATAACTTTTGCGAGGTTTTTTATGATGCTGATTTCAGTCTGAGTTTTAAGTGAAAAACAAAAACAAAAATAATAATAAATGTAAAACAAATGCAGAGCATTCGTTGAACGGGTTCGGCAGTTGACTCATTCTGAAAATTTAATAATTGAAGAAATATAAATATAAATAAATACTAGTGGCATTTCGGTGTATTTAACATTTAAATTAAATTATGATCATTTTAAAATTATAAATATAAAATCGTAAATATTTGCAATAGAAAACACAACTTTAAGATGTGCTTTTTTCAATAAAAACCTATAGAATCTGATATAATCTATATTAAAGTTTTAAAAAAGTGTGACTAACTACGGTGATTCTTCACGTTGAAGTAAAATTTTGTGCATCAGAAACATCGTGGACTATTTCCATTATCAAATTAGGTAATAAATTTAAATATTTATATGATATATTGATCACTTTATTTATAATATAATTCACCTTGCGTATACGTAGTATGCAACAAATTAAAAAAAGAAAAACAGTATTTACATGATTTTTGAATATTATGCTCAATGTACATATTCAAAGAGTTGAGGTGAGAATATTTAATTCACAGTCCATATGACACTGTATTCTACTAATTCCCTGAAATTAAATTGCATGAATAATTAATAGTAATTAATAGTAATAATAAACACATTTAGTTCAGCTTGGAGAAAACGATTTAATATTTGATGTTGTCAAACTTCTTGATTTGCGTAATTCTCCTTTAATAATAAACTGAGAGCAACTATGTAAACGCTTCGACAACAAATAATTAACAAGTTGAGTTTAAAGTTCAATGGTCGACACGTGCCCAGGTTGTTAATCAAGCTAGAGCAAAATAATAACTCAACAATAGAACTAGAAAACAGGCATTATTTGCGAATGAAAATTAATTAAAAAACAGCAGCATGTGTGTGCTCACATATATGCACTCGTGTGTGTGCGTGTGCTCGTGTGAGTACACAAACAAAAAACAAATGTTAAATAGAAAAAGAAATTAAACATAAAGGGCACGCTGATGTAAATAAGGTGTTCCGGATGGAAGCCAGCGGAAATCAAAGTAGCGCCTGCATAAAATAAACCTCATAGTGTCCTTCAGTCGGTGCTCCGGACCGCTATGCTCCACCCAACTGCCGCTGATTACGTATTTACATGAATGTTAATTTTTTGTTATTTAGCACGCTTTGTTTTACCAGCGGCACTGGCAGTGGCAGTGACAGGGGCAGTGGCAGAGGAAGCGGTAAACGCATACATCAGCAGAGTCACGAACAATTAAGGAAAGGCAAACAGCAGTACATCAAGTAATGAGCGAAGTTTTGTCGTAAGTGCAGCAGAAAGAGACACGAACAGAGCACTTAGCATTTGCGTGGCAGGTGCGTGCTGAGGACATTTAATGCCACGACAAGGGAGATAAATATTTTTGTAATTAATAGAGAAAGTTAAAGTTGATTGCTGGCTAGGTTATCTGCGTGGCTGCTCAAATACAGTTTCAAAGAAAAAAAATATATATATGTATGAAAATAAGTCAAATGTCCGCCCAACAGGCAGCTCACACTCGGCCAGCGAGCGAGCGCACATGTCAGATGGAGATTTATTACCAGAAAAAAGAAAAGAAGCAGAGAGCAAAAACCCGACGGCTACGTTTTAAATGGTCTCGCACCTTTACGTGCGACTTGAGGTTTTTGGGGTTTCCCCCCCGAGTCGTATATCCTTAAAAGCCCTGTCAGGAAATTAAACTATTAAGCTTTCTTGATGTACATAAAGTTTTAATGCCATCCGAAAAGGTGTTTGGGAAATTATGTTGTACTATCTGGGCCAGTGCCGCCTGTCATTAAGGGGGGGAAAGCAAACCATTTACTTTTCCGCGACTCGGCCATAGACCAATTCCACTGATAAGTGAATCCAGTAAAAGTTTAGTGGCAAATCAACATAAAATCCTGTTGATTACCTCAAGTTTTTCAGCCCAACTGCTAAGCCATTCCACTGCTGTCAGCAACAGGCATAGAAATTACAACAGTTTGCGCCACAAGTGCTAACAGCCTCCGATGAAAATCGATATGTCAGCTGTGGTCAGGTACACGTAGCTGTCTAAACTTCTGCTCCGTAACTTATCTGGAATTTTTTGATTCTCAATTAATGTTTGTTTCATTTCGTTTCGCATGAGATTCCAAGAAGCCTGACAGTTCTGTTTGAGTAAGTCAACTTATACAAAAGTAACAAGTTGTGGTCACCCAGTCATGAGCAGACATAGCGAATGCATTTTCATTTCCAATCAGCCAACACATATTTCATTTCATATATAAGAAAATTTATGTATTTATTACTCTTGATATAGTATATTAAAAGCAATTTTGCCAGAAATTAGAGTCCTCAAGAGAATAGAACATTGTACTAGCATTCGACATGTTTTTAAATATAACTTTTTGAAAAATTACTTAAACATGACGTATGCAAGAGTCTAATATATATACTATGAAAAAGTAAGAGCGTATACTTAATTTTTATACTTCTCATTGTTGAGGGCTTCTCTTATGCAACATTTTTAGTATTCGTGTTGGATTCATTGAATTGAACGCACTTAATATTTTATTCGTATTTAAGACAATAAAATTGTTGGCATATTTTGACCATCCAATCATCGTTGTACTAAGTGTTGCGTGCAATAAGCAAAATATAAATAAGCCAAGGCATTTATCATGGGCCTTATTCAATTCTATTTATTTATAGGCTACATATGTAGATTTTTTTATTTACGAGCGACAGACACTCATGCATCATATAATATATCGGGGCACATATTCCGCAGCAACTGTAAATGTGCTGTAGGCCAGATTGCATTCGATCTAATTCATTAATGCCGCCTACTACTCCAGCTGAGGCCAGCGGGCACCCGTAATCGTTATCGCCCTAATGCTAGCTGCTCAGTAATACAATTTAACAGCATTGTCTAGATTTAATGCTGCCCACTATCTAAATTGAAGTTGATCCAATCAATGCGAACGCTGACGCGTAAACAATAGAAAAACTAAACGAAACAACATCACACGAAAGCAAAAGAAAATCTGAAAAACAGTGATACAGTTAAGAAACAGAAAACAAAAATGTTGAAGTTTACAGACGGCTAAAACTTTTTGAGCATTTGCATCGATTGAGGCAATAAATCGACCGAGCAATTGACAGCGCTTTAGGATCCAAGCAAGAATTCAAATTATGTATATTTAAAAAAAATTAATAAAAAAAAAATGAGGATCAAAATTTGATTAAATATATACATATATGTATTTGTAGAGAATGTGAAAACTGATTTCAGCTTGTTAATATCTCTGTCTCTTTATGCTTATTTCTTTTAATTGGCTCTCAAACTTTGAACTTGTGGCTAATTGACGAGTTGAGGCATTGATATGGACACTTCATAAGCATTTTCATAAATATTTATTGGCAACAATGCTAATTGAGCACGACAAACACACAAGACACGCCTCCTCAGTGAGCATTGAAGCTGGCTATCGTGACTTCTAATGAGGAATTCGAAAATGTTGTTTCCATGATATTTTCGCATTGCGCATTCTCAATTGGCCGCATTTAACCGGCCACTTGACGCACAAAGAAACATCATGACCTGTCCACTGCTAGTCAGCTAGTCGGTGTATATCTCACATACATACATACATATAGATGTTTGTATGTTCATGTTTATTTAAATTTATATATTTTTTCTCAATTACTTAAACAAATGTGGTTGTTCTTGTTGTTGTGATTGTTGGTGCTACTGTGCGTACAGTGGCCATCGCAACGGCCACCAAACATTTGTTGGCATTTTTCGCCTGTGCAAATATGCAAAATGATTGACAGCACAATTAAGATGCCGCCACTGAGCTCACAGGTAATGCAGCATTTAAATAAAACGCGGGCTGCCGGGAGGCCACGTGCCAGCTGCACCCATATATGGCTGTAAATTTCTATGCACAAGCAGAGCAGAATGATAGCACATACTGTTACATCATTCAGGTACTCTTACACCAAATTTAAAACAATACATCATTCAGGTACTCTTATACGCTGCCAGTTTGAACTAATAAACAAATTTTTTGCTAATTTTTAATTAATGACTACAATAAAGGTTTATTTAAACGACATTAGCTTTAAACAATTGCATCATTTTATTGAACAAGAGATAATAGGGATGCGATTAATTAAACGAGCATTTAAATATGAAATATGTATAATAAATATATTATAAAACAATGACTAAATAGCTTTTCATGCGTCTTAAAAATAGCAAATAACATACTATATATTTCCAGCAATTAATTGTAATAGTTTCCATAATTTGTCTATTGGCCAACTGAAATATAATACATAATTAATTAAATTGTTTATGACAAGCTAATTGCTCAGTTTACTATTTGCTATTTTTGCTTTTTTATTCTTTTTATTTATTTATTTATTATTATTATTTTTTTTTTTATTTATTTATTTATTCTTTTTTTTTTTTGAGTCTAATTTATTAATGTGTTTAGAGATATTACAACGAAGTCATACATCAAGAAGTGACTTATATTTTTATTTATTACATTACTTTTTACTTGATGCTGGCGACGAAAGGCTCCAATCTAGACTAAATATTTGTGTGCATACTTTTTTGCTTGCCTCTTGGACTGTTTTCTATTAGCCTTGGCTGATTGCCAATAAAATCCACAGGGGAAAAAAATGAAATGTTCCAAGTAAATGAAAACACAGAATACAAACACGTGCCGATGCTATATGTTTTTTTTTTTTTTTTCGGACATACGTGGCGTATACACAATGTTGCTTATCATAGTCGTTTGTTTTCGAATTCCGAAGTGATAAAACAACGAATTCATACATAGGGGCAATGCTGCTGCTCTGAATGCGAAATGATTGCGATTATTAAAGACCTAAGACAGTTCACATATTTTATGCAATGAATTTAGTGAACTTCTAGTCATATAGGCCCCACTCACGTAGAACTTAAATTTATCTGACGGAGGTATAAACAATTATGTTTACCGAAGTTTATATAAGTGTATAGAAAACTTGTACATAAGTAAAGCTAGACAGACGGGTATTACACAAATGTAATATGCTCTGTTTTTAGTAGTATACTAGTTTAACTTAATTATAGTTTATATCTGTATGAATGCAAATGAATGCAATGCACATCTTTAAACTAAATTTTCAAATTTTATGAAAAGAGAAAAGTAGGACATATGAAGTATTCATATAAAAAAAATATATATATATTAATGTATATTCACCTGTACCTTGCCGAGTGTCTGTCAAGAGCATTGGAAAACTTGTTGATAATTATGCAAAATTGAATGCATCAATTACGCGAGACAAATCAAAGCTGTCAGCCTTTAGCATTTCAATA